TATTTTTATATCATATTAGCATGTCGTGGCATGAGTATGGCCTGGTATATCAGTATGGTCTATCGTATAGGTGTGATATAGTAATAGAGTATGATTATAGTACTGGGTATTKTTATATCATATTAGCATGTCGTGGCATGAGTATGGTCTGGTATCAATATAGCCCACCATTCGTATAGTTATGTCATACTCATTAACACTTTGTCATGTTACGACCATCGCACAGTGGTACAACACAGTTAATATAGATTGTGATAATATTAGTATTGTACTCTAATTGACTTTAATGGAATTAATCATCAATCGGTTAGCGATTAAGTTATGATGACTTCAGCTTAAATACGACCAGTTTGCTTGCACGCACCTTGATAGAAGAGAATATCACACGAAAATTTGAAGACAGTTTAATAAATGGTAAAAAAATGTAGCTAGAATTATTGACGTCAACGGGACAGGCATTGCTCGAATCAAGCTGTCAGAATTGCATGACTTGAGCATTAGACAAAGTAATCAATGTATTCTGTTCTAACGTCATTTTTGAAGCAACTGAACTGCAGGGGACCTAAGTCAAACGTCCGATCAACAACATGGATTAACATTTCATTAGAGAGATCACGGGACATAGAAATCCTTGATATGACCTCCTAGATAGAGATTAAGGAAGTGATCAAGACTGCAAGAAAAAAGAACGAGAGAGGATTAAAATTTCTTTCTGATTACTGCACGTGTTTAAAATATTTAAGAAAATGGCTTCCAACAAGTAGCTCAGTGAATCTTTTGTTTGCTTTGTTTTAAGTCTTCAGCGTTTATCCTAAACGGTAGCTTGGTCTTGACTTCTCAGCTGCTCACGCAACACGATTTCAAATGATCTGTGTTTATTAAAACGTCCGGTCAATTTGCACCTCAGCAGGTTTGGAGCACGCATTTTAAAAAAAGATGAAAAATCTTGTACTTTTTATGATTCATTGCTATAATAATTTTTGGTTAAGAGCCAATGTTTTTCGTGTGAAGGATGCTGTGACTTCTAAGACAAATATGAATAAATTAAGGTTCTGTGAAAATCAGAGCCATTTTTTTGGTTTCATTTCCTTCAATTGGAAGTATTTATTGGCGTCTTTGGTTTTTGAGACAAAGCATCGTACGAGAAATGCGAACAATTTGTACTCCAGTCGCCCCGAGCCCCTTTAAGAGGTATCGTGTCATTTGCATCTTAAAGTCGTGCCATACAATAACAATAAACATCAGTGAATGACATCCAATAAAAGACAAGCTTGGGTTATCTTAACATTGGGTCAATTTCCTCTGAATCAACGGCTAGTGATCTGTTGACGTGTTGTTTACAAAGTAATGGTACGATTGTCTTCACCGTTCACATTCCGACTCACGCCCACATCTATTGATCGCATAATGGGATGATAACTCACAAGCATTCAAGCCTACAAAGAACTAAATCGATCTACTAAAGCTCCTTCCGAATTGATTTTACTGGTTTAAGAATCAGAATACCCGAGTCATGGCATGGATGAGAGGGATTCCGATCCATGTGAAGGTCAGTAAAATGACTGTATTTGCTTGGACTGTTTGTACAATTCAACTCAGACGGTCCCTCCCAGTGTGCCTGTAATTGGCCGCTATTACTTTAATTAAGTCTGTTAATTCGATGCCATACTACGTACGCACGGCTCCTAGTCTTTGAACGCAGAATGCAGTCRTACAGACACAATACAAAAAGTCCGCTTTCTTGTGTCTCGGCACAAAGGCAGTAACTGCAGGGCATCGTCCTGCTGTGTCGATATCTTGTAGCCTACTTCAAAGAACCTCTCTTGAATAGCCAGTCGACCTGTGCTAGCTATAGCCCCAGTGGAGCATCGTCTCTTCTCTCTGGCCTAGATTCAAACGAAGAAAAAGAAAGAAAGATACGCTATGTTCATTTCTTGGTTTTCACCTTTCAAGTTCTCTTTCTTGTTCTTTGCAGTGTAAGTACAACTGACGACTCAAATCTTCATTTTTCTTATAATTCTGAAATGATTTTCGTCGGAGAAATTTGATGACGGTGGCGAAACGTTGCTTTTTTAAGAAATGATTCTTATTTTCGAGTTACCGTACTAACTARTTGGTTCTTCACTTCATACAGACGTGGCTACGTCCAAACATCTACAGCATCTCCGTGGGTAAGTAATCCCAGAACTGGGGCAGCCGGTTTTATTCCTTTGTCTTTAATCTTTAACTTAACCAGCCCTCGTTTTGCGAGAGTATAAACGTGTCTTGTGAGATCCAATGGAAATATATTTTTTCGTTTTTCAGTCAGCAAAACCATCATTTGATCAGTTTGTATCGAAAGAAAGAGGTCGAAGCGATCTGAGAAGTCTTCCTTTCTTAAGAGAAACACAGTTGTATTCTCGTTCAAGTCGGGGACATTTGCGAATCCTAGGCAGGAAGATCGACGCAGTTGGAAGAGACGGAGACCCTTACGGTATGATATACAAAGCAAATCTCTAGAAAATATTACATTGAAATTGTCTGTATAAGAAACCCTTTAGTTCAAGTCAAGGAAGCCGATGTTTGTCTTTCAGACTAGCACCCTATTTTCACCCTATACATGATTTGCCTTTAATACGAAGCTCTAAACTCCTCGCGCAACAGACGCTGCCATTGTCTTCGTCTGCGTCAGTGCTATTTCTCGAGTCGTAAAAAGATCGAACTAGTTTTTGACAACTGAGCTACTACCAAAGCCTTTTTGACTGGTGTACTGTATTTACAGTAAGCGTGAAAATAACTTCAGTTGCACGCGAAAACAAAGGGGCAAAAAACATACTTTTTTTAGTCGTGTTTTAAAAAARGGGTCTCTTGTTCAAACACTGCGTAACAAAGTATTTGTGCTGCGATGTCGAAATCGCCTGAATTGGCGGATTTATTTAGAAAGTCCAGCACAAGAACGAATTGTTTTGAGAATCAAGTTCATCTTCCTTCGTCGCGCCAAATCTGTAAGTCTACAGTGGTTTACGAATTCTGTCAATAAACACAACAAAGCAGCTCAACTGACGAAAATATTTTTGGAGAAAAAATGTCAAATATGTTGCATTTTCTTTGTCTGAAGAATACGCGCTACTTTCAAGAAAGATGAAAGAGATTCCTTCTCCTTTAGATTTCACCAAAGTTATTTAAAAAAAGACTATTTTGTTATGAGAATTGTTTTGCAGTCGTCTAGGGACGGATGAAAGGAAAGTTCTAATTCCATACGTGTTTACGACAAGTCATCCCTTTATTTGTTTTAGTTAGTCCTTTAATGGAATCATCGCTGAACAAAACTTAATTCATCTGACTATGTCAAGCTAGGACAACCATGCTTGATCCCTCACTACCACCAAGCAAGGCAATAAGTAGATAGTTAGCTGCAAATGCTCGCAAAGAGCTTCCTTTTTGAGTTTCTTTAACCAAGGTTTTTCGACGCGAGTCTTTGAGGTTCTCTAGAGAGACAATAGAATTTCAAGCCGAAAAGGAAGTTCTATTATCAATTTTGCTTACTTCGGTACAAAAGAAGTTCGTCCGACTTTTCAGAACAGAACCAACAACGTCTCGCACAAAGACAACAACGAAAAGATAATGTAATTACAATGCTAAACCATGGAGTTTGTTGCAAATAGGCCCCGTTACTGCATCAAATTACCCAGTAATAACAAGTAAAATAWATTTCATTGGTCATCCTGTAAAAGAGGGTCGCAATGCATTGAGTTTATTTGTTGTTTCATTGTGATTATTGCAGCAAAGTTAATCGTTGAATCGGATAAYTTTGGCCGTGTCAAGATCAAAGGCGCTAAGACCAGCTACTATCTTTGCGTTAAGAAAAATGGTCGTCTTATTGGAAGGAAGGTAACACTTAGATCATATGTCTTTTTCATTATTATATGCACTGAATGTTTGAACAGTGGTGTGTACATAGCCTAAATAGGCTAGATTATATACATGTGYTACTTACAAATCTTGGACACCCTGGCACATTTTTGCAGGTATTACATTCACATTTTGTTCACAAAWACGTGGGTCTAAACTACCCAAGACACCCTGAATTTAATGATTGTGATATTCCTTGAGCAATTGTCAGGGCTTGGCACGAATTTTGGATATCTTTGTACGAATGAATTAGGATGTTCAAATCAAAGTCCACATTGAACGACAAACAGTAAACACATCCCACGCAATGACAGCTTGGCAAAGGAAGTCTTTGACTGCTTTAGATGTTTCGCGCTTTTTAGTGAACACGCTTACATTCTCTGAGACAACATTGTCTACTCCCATGCATTGATTTTGCATCTTTCAAACCTTTAGCGCTGCTTTTGGAAAGAATTCTAGTCTAAATAGTTGCCATAGATACGAGTGAGCTCTGTATTGAATCCATGCTGTCAAGGTGAATTGAAGACCTAATACGTATAGACGCTGAGACTGCTTTGTCTTTAGCCACTGAACTAAGTCAATAAAGGGTGGACTGAAAGGRTCAGGGTCGGTGGTACTAGATTGAGGAAGAGTGAAGTTCCTGAAATCAGGGAGAAGAGGAAATGGAAAAAAACACATTAGAAAAGCAGCTTGGAAAAAGAATAGAGATATTTATAGAATAATTAGGCAGAATTACAAAAATGAATCAAGGAATGGATGGATAAGGAGTGAATGAAAGAGTGCGTGAATGGGTGGATTGATGGATGGATGGGTGGGTGGATTGATGGATAGACGGACGGACGGACGGACGGACGGATGGATGGATGGGTGGATGAATGGATGGGTGGGTAGGAAGGTTTTTAAGTGGATGGAGTGATGGATGGGGGAGTGGATAGATTGATAAGTTGGGTGAGTGAATAGATGATGGATGGGTAGGTGAGTGATGATTAACGAAAGAATAGCTGAAAATCGCTCCACATGCACAGCAGAGAAACCCGTTTTTCAAGGGCATCTCAAGACGRAAAGAATTGCTCATTATTGTCTAAACTCCACTTTATTCTCTTTGTAAACTAGATTTCAAAAGCCACCAAATCCAAATGCGTATTCTACGAAAGATATGCATCGAACTCATTTACAGAGTTCGCCTCTGCATTCAGGCCACAGTGGTTGATAACAGTGTCCAAGAAGGGCCACACTAGACCAGGATTTAAAGGACRAAGTGGCCAAAAATCTGTACAGTTTATCCAGAGACCCACCCGCATCATTATCGAGACAGACAATGTTGGACAGTCATTTGTCGACGGGCTGAGTCAACATATTGCGCAGCTTTTGCGGAATTTTAGAGYGCAGGTTGGATCCCGTCGTCCTCCTGGACTTTACGTTTCAAATAAGCGCCAACTTGAAATAGGACGCTCAAAGAATGTARAAAAGGATACCACGAAAGAGAGGACGCGAAAAAAAGAGAAGAGAAGGAAGAGAAAGAGGAAGTTACGATTATCGAAGAAGAGGCTTAAGAAGGAATTAAAGCAGATGAGAAAGAAAATGACAAAGAAAAAAGACCCGAGTAATTCTTAAAATCCAGTTGTAACATTGGTCTCTTGGAGTTGGATCAGCGCGGCGCGATGCGTATTYCATCAAATTACACTGCTTTATAGAATACCCATCGCTTTACTTGTTGATATGCAACAGATATAAAAAAAACTTATACTTATACTTCTTTCCAAAGCTAAGAATAAGGCTGCAGGGTTGCGTAAGGTTGAATGCCTGATTTTAGGGGAGGAGGGGAGCGCAAATTCACATGAATTCAATCTCACCACGATGTCATTTACTTATGATACGGGGGGATAGTGGGAGGGGGATTCAGAAACTCAAATAGCTTGAAAACTTGTCTTAAATCATGCCTTAATTTAAATCATGGCTTTAATTTATATTCTAATAAGACGCAATGTTAAATCCGCTCAATTAACATTCTTGTTGTTAGGTAGCATTTTCCATCTTTCACGGTATTTTTTGTACATATGTGACTATTTAGACTGACCGTTCGCACAAATACTATAGTATAATTACCTACCAGACTTGTGTGCATCGCCATATGACACGTTAATCATTAAACGAGAAAGTGGGAAGAGTGAAAAAGGTCGAAGTATTCTCTCTCGCCATTGTTCTACACGATTGATGTTAATGCCATCTTTCTCCGACTCTTGTYTGATGGTGTGAACAGCTAGTTTTATATACAGTTATTTCAAAAAAAGTTGTTGAAGGTTTTGTTGCCGGCTGCATACCATGTCTGAAATGCACTATGGGCGATGTTTTGCAGTCAGCAAAARGTAACAACGATATGGAATCTTAACGAACTTAGTCTGCACGTTTTCTAGGCATATTTCCTTGAAGCTTAGTAAGCAACTTGCAGCACGCAACAACCTTTCTTTGAAATAGAGGTATACTTTATTACAGTTTGCGCACGCAGAGTGAGCAATAATTATTTGCTGCTTATTCAAGTTTCCCAGTAACCGTCACAGAACGCTCGCTTCAACTTACACGTTCATATCCACCATGACGCATGCCTTGGTTAGGTGTATATAYGTTTAACAGCGTTATAAATGAATTGCTCTCGCAACATAAAAAGAATATTAAAAAATAAACATATTGCATTGGTTTTGAAGTCGAAACGTTGGTTAAAATTGTACTTAATGAAATAAAAAGAAMATAGCAAACTACTTAGTTCAAGCTACTTCTCCGCAGGCCAGAAGAAATGCAGGCTCTGGGTACGAGAGTGCTAGAGCTGCGTTAATGAAGAAGTATAAATGGTGGGGAATGATGAGAAATGATACCGTCAATGTCATTAACGTTGTCCACCGAAAAAAGACATTTACGCATTTACACGTTTACACACTTAGACTAAAAGATATATCACGTGTTTCATTATGTATTCTTTGCCTCGTGTGCGTCAGCCTGAACTTTAAATGTAAAATTCAACTCATAAGCGTGCATCGAAAATCCAGAATCCCTTGACCATTTAGTGAGGATTTAAGATGGAGAATGGTATTTCAGCGTTTGCTTTATGCCAGAACCTTCGAGGAAACACGTGATATTTCTTTTAGTCTAAATGTGTTAATGTGTAAATGTGTAAATGTCTTTTTTTGGTGGACAACGTTAATGACATAAGTATAAGTAACGTTTTCAGTATTGATTTATGTGGTGGGTACAGGCAAATACCCCCTCCCCTCAGAGGCCTGTTTGAAATGCTCGATGCTGGGTGTTCATATTGACTATTTCTATAAATATAAATACGTTCCTTAACATACATGCAAACAGACAGTACATTCATTTCTGAGTCTCAAATGACTTTAACTTTTGGAGATATTTGAGGACAAAATCCAAAATTTCACTTCCAGTGGTGTTGGGTACCGGCGAATCAATCATATCCCTCCTCCGGCCAGATGTGCCCGATCCAGGAGAATACTTTGCGGATTACCTAAAGTACAAAGTACAAACTCATAACGGTCTTTCACAGCGTCTAACGTGGTATTGATACCTTTCATATGGTTACTTTTCTCTTGGACAACTGTAASTCATTAAGGTGGCGCTTTACAGTTTTTAATCCTCTTCCTGTTGAGTTAGTTTTGTTCTGTGCCGTCCGAAACGTCTAGCACTCGCTCCCTAGGCCGGTAGTAAAGCGATAGTTAAGTGGTGGCTTAAATATGACAGTATTTTATATCCGCATTATCTCATACTGGCTACTTTACCTCCAGTGAATTGCCTCTAGTGTTGGCTATGAACGATGTATTTTCTAGTCTATTAGGATTCAATGCGTTGAGAACTCAGTCAAATACTATTATTAGACCATATTACGAGTAAATAACAACTTTTATCATATAATTATCCATAAAATACCTATATTTCTTCTTTTCGAAAAACTGATATTTTCACATGTGAAAATAACATGTTATTTTCACATGTGAAAATATCGTTACCATGTGTATGTAAGCTATTAGTTAGTTAGTTATGATGATGAGAAGCTTATTAAGTTGATTTTATGGATAATTATGTAATAAACACAATATTACATGGGCGCTTGGAGATACGAAATTTATCTTCTCATGTTGAAAATCTCTCACTCATTCGCTGCGCTCACTCGCTCACTCATATCTTTTCAACACTCGAAGATAAAATCATTAATTATCTTTATCATTAATTATCATTATCATTAATTATCACTATCATTATTGTACGAGAAAAATTATGAATTTAGCCGAGACAACTTGAGTGAGCGGCGGTTTTATCAGTGAGAATGGTTTACTGTTCAATTTTTGTCCTATTTCACGGATATGAGGTCTGCACTCTAGTAAGAGTAACATTCTGTGTGGTCACTGATTTTGTTTTAAAAGCAAACCGTCTTGGGATCCGTTGGGAAACTCTTAACCAAATCTGGGTGGCCTGAGAATCTTTGCTTAAACYGAAGGAGAAAACTCTCAGCAAATAATCTCTTGGCGGTATTTAGCGCGCAGCGTTGCTCTCTTGCTACTAATGTCARATTAGACGGTGCGCGCCCGCGTTTTGTGGTCGTGCTGTGAGAATACGTAGCTTAGGGCTTGTTCATGTACCACCGGATTGAGTCGTGTCTTTTTATTGATTCAATATGCGTCTGTCAACGTGTTGACTCATCTTTAGGAAAAGTCGCGTGACCTCAAGAGTTCTCTCTCGAATCAAAATTACGTGATTTCTTTAAGACGAAGTCAGTAAATTCCATTTTCTTGCTGTTGTAATTTGCCTCTACGACGAGTACTTTAATCATTCCTTCAAGAGTAAATATTATTTACGTAAATATAATTAAAATTGTTGTTTTAGTTTGACAAAAAAAATTATGGCTGCATTTAGTTTTAAGCTACGCTCTGTTGTGCGGAACAAACCATGAAKTTCTTTCTATTTTTCTCTAGTGCTTTATTAATCCAAGTCTTAATATCTACTTATAGTTATAAAATCAAGTAATTAGTATTGGCAGACTTTCTATCAAAGAAATGTTTGATAGAGAACTTTCATTAAGGTGGGGTTCCGTTCTTCCCCTGATATGGCCCGAAAAGGTTTTAAAATCAATCGTCTCGTTTACCCAGACAGTCGAAAAACTCTTTCCCTTCTGTTATGTATTACTAACCATCTCTCGTATGAAAACTTTCCTGAAGAAATCTGCTCATAAAARCATTGCCTGCTTCATTTCTTACGCTGGTTGTAAGACATTTTAGCGCGCGCAAAAGAGAAGCGCATCATTTGGTCAGTGCACTAGAACGTAACGTTAGCTTCATTTCAGAGTTTTGTGAGAAAAAGGCGACGCAAAACRAGATAGATTCGCGGTCGAATATAAAAGCTATAACAGATTAGGAGAAAGATTTTATATTCTAATCTGGTTTAACTTCCAATATCATATTAATTTATTATTTACTGTATTATTGTAGGATTTCCTCATGGAAGAAGAAAAGGAGTCTCGGAGAAAAACAAAATRCAACATTCAACGCGGCAACCCTCACAAAATGAGAAGATTTGGCCGTAGACAATTTAACGCCGGAAATTAAAGTTGAAAAGGTAATTGATAATACTAATAAAAATATGTAGAGTAAATGTGTGAAGATTGGGATATGTAGCCTTTCATCTGCTACAAGCGGCGTGGAGATCCCGGGGAAGCAAAAAGCCGCGCGCGGCAAAACAATCACTACACTTTTCAACTAAATCATTCAAACTACAAGTAAAAAAAGTATCTTGTATCTTGTAGAATCAAGAAAATGATTAAGCTACCTCGACGTTATCGAGACCCTATAAAATGTCTTGAATAAATTCCATGGTCTTGGATATCATAAAATAGGTGCCTCTATAAACATTTGTTTTATCGTTTGAGTATGTTTTTTTTTGAGTTGGCCTCGAGTGGTTTAAGAGATATCCTGTTTGACGGTCGAACATYACGGCAGGAGAAATAGGCGGCGGTTATATCTGAGAATTTGTTTTGCAAATCAAGCTTGTGTTCGTAGTTGAATTGCTGTAGACCTTCGCTGCGAGACATCGGCGCACGTCCAACGTTTGTTGTAAAAACGGTCTTGAGAATTAAGTAATTATCCCTAACGTCTCAAAAACCTTTCTTGAAAGCATTAGCTACTAGTAAGCCTTATAATCTAGATTAAGATTTGATCTTCTTACTTCATGAGATGGGCCTTTTTTCCGTATTAATGATTCTAATAACTCAAAAAAGCCGTTCTGAGGACGATAGGAGGCCATAATTTTTGGCGCTTCCGAAAATTTCCCAGACCCCTGGAACTAAGAATGAGGAAGAACCCAGTTGTAATTCTGGATTTCGTAGCTAAAGAACAAAGTGATTATAGCAAAATACCTCGATAATCTGTGCTAAGTTTTTCACAATCGTCTTTATTTTTAACGCAGAGAAGGATGTACTGGCCGAATAGTATCCGATTGCGCTCTGACTCCACAATCTGACATCGGAAGTCATGAAATACATACTGTTATTTCCTAAGATAATTGCGARGAAAAAACAAAACAGTCAGCCGAATTAAACTTGAAACAATCATCGCCCGTTTTGCAAGTGGATTKATTGTTATCCACAAGTGGGATTTTTTTCGCGAGTCTTTGGGTAAATATGTGTTGTTGATGACYGTGATGAGTTTTTGGTGTGTTTTTGTAGTATTAGAGTCTTTTTTGCGGCATGTGAAGGTATTAGACGTGCTAATCAAGGGCAGATACTGTTTCGCATAGTGGGAAACCGTGTAACTCGAGCTGGAACGACCCACAAACCAACCGGCTCGACATGAAGGATGACACATACCGTTTTATTACGTCTAAACCCGCCATGAGAACAAACCATCCCGTACTACCTCCCACACAACCAACCACTGATATATAAGACAGTGGTTGCAGCCAAAAAGGACCAAGATTTCCTTCTGCATAGACAGTTGTGCTGCAGTTGATTCGTCTGGACATCGCGCCAACATTTCAAGCCTTCAAGACAAGAAGCCTGACAACTATCAAGTTCAACTTCACCATGAATTWCTACGCTATGATTTGCGTGGTGGCAGCCACCATGTTTATGTAAGTTTGTCTTGGCCTCGTGTCTGTTGTCTTTAAGGATTTTCTTCATTACTTCGGATTTTTTCATTCATCATTTAGTTAATTAATATTTTCAATTCTTCACAACAATGCAGGTATACTTTAGAAACTGCTACAAAGAAGCCAAACCTGAACAGTGTAAGCTTATTTATTTTATCATTAATTCGACTCTGTATTCCATCTTTTTCTCCGTTATAAATGACTGACGCATGGCTTTTTGTTGGCAGATTCATTATGGCTTTGACTGGCATTACACTAAACAAAAGATAAAGACTGACTATGACAGCATCCCATTCCACAAACAAACTCGATTGTATTCCAAAGCTTCAGGAAAACACCTGCAGATCATCAATGGAACTGTGAACGGTTTGGGCAAGGAGGGATCTGAATTCGGTGAGTGAGTAACTAGGATTTTAAAATAGCTACGTGATTTTTTCTGTAACGACTTACTAAGGGTAGATCTCTGAAGCCTACAATAAATGTTGAGTTAGAGGTGTTTGCGCATAGAAGAAAGGCCTTTGTCGATTATCTGTTTGCGCAGTTTTGATACTTCGTGTTTACGCTCGCCTCGCGCTGTTTGGCGTGAACTTCATAGAAAGCCATGTCGTATTTTATAAGCAGGTTTGATCGCGTGCTATGAAGGCCTCGTTTAARCAAGATAACACGGTGCCATGCTAATGGCTCTCATTAATGCTGAATGCAAAGAATTCGTTAACAGCTTAAGATTGTTGTTCCACGAAGCAAGGGATGACATTAGTAACGTAATTGGGTTCGCAATGTCTTTCTTGAGAAGTATATCATATCATCAAACTGGATGAAACCTGCCAAACATCTGYTGTAAAAGACTAGCTTGTGAAGACTTCSATATCGTRCGAAACTCTCTTCAGTTAAGATTARGAATTTGCTCAAATATATTTTRAAAAACAYKACACTTAGTGTAARCTTTACGTCCTAAAAGTATAATTAATGGCAGACGAAAATGACTTGCACAGCAAGTCTGGAGAAGTAGTTCTTGGACAACGTTTAATTTTCTCTAAACATCCCACACAGGAAGGAAAAAAACGATTGGATTCTCAAAAAGTTTCCGTCAGTAAGGACAMCTTTTCATGCAGTGATTGTTTGCCCGGGTACAAATCATTCCCAGCCGAGTTGAAGAATCAGATGATTTTTAATGACTACCTTATCAACACAATGATTGATTGTCGTACCTTTGACACGGAGTTCTCAATTTATCACGATATTTAAAAGCGGTGACTTGGACGCTTTGGAGAGCAGAATATCTCGCCTGAAGCTCAGGGAAACTGCTTGATACCTTAACGTAAACGGAAGCAAAAACGGAAAGTATTGAATTTCTTAGTTCCGAAGAGAAAAAAGGTTTTCTTTTTCTTGTTTTTGGTTGATTTTTCTGCTGTCTTTTTGACGTACTGCCATTCGATTATGTTTTTGAGCTTGAGCCAAAAACGTCGCGGCTTCAGTTGCTCTCATAAAACGGCCAAGCAATTTTTTTTCACTTTTACGTTATGTTAGTTAGTGAGTTTAGATTTAACGAAATTAYTGTAAGTCGAGATCCCTCTATTAGAATGAGGATTGCACTTATTTCAAAGAAGAATCTTATAAATCTTATAAATGCATCAATGGACCTCTCTTATTGTTACCGAGTGACTTCAGTCAACTTATTCCAGAACAGAATGTGATTATTTGGTGTCCATTATCTCGCTACTGATTGGTTAAAACCAACGCAAGCCATTTTAGACTCGCAAAATATCTGCGCCATGATTTACCACAAAAAGCTGTCTCGCAACATTAAGTGTTTTAATCGTTGTTGGCAGTTATCGCGATAACCTTAAGTTCTATAGGTATCTCGAACTCCATGAGAACAAGATTAGAATCAGCTTAGGTGACCACCACGCCTCGAGGCGAACAGGGTGGCCTTGGCAAAGTATGGTACTGCTTTTTAATGAGTTGGACCAGACTATTAAACTGTGAGCAGTCTAGCTCAGTCATCCGTGTGCGGTTTTTGTTGTCAAAACAACTTTTCYGCTATCTAAACTGCGATAATTTCCCAATAAATCTTTCAAAAGAATTGGTTATTCTTCACTTTAGATTTGAAGGTACAATCTTGGAAAATATCAAAGCTATGATTTAGTATACTGCATTTCCAGTATTATGAGTCGTATACGAAACAAGACGCGCTACAACCAGCTGTTTTAATCATTACTTTAATGGGTTCGTTTTTTCTGAGAAGGGTAAAAGGTTACAGGTGCTGACGATAAGGATTTGCACAATTACTGTAGTCATCATAATCACTGATTATTACAATTTAACAGCATGAGAAAAGAGTTAATTTTTTCATCACAGCCGTTGCGCGGGAAACCTCGCGTTACTTACGATACATTTCTATGCATGTTGGYTTCTTTATTCTCTAATACGCGTGTACGTCAATGTAAAGACAAACGCTTCTCTCCTAGAAGTGTAAAAGCACATTGGGTCATCTCCCTTGATTCAAGGGTTTTTCTTCAAGTTCTCCAGTTTTCTCCTTCCGCAAAACCTAACACGATAAATTCCAATTCAGAGGGTAACTTCATTCTTCGGTACAAATTGAAGATTTTTGAAGCAATATTCTTTTGGCTCAAAGTTTTATCATCGAAGATCTTGGCATTCAATCTAAGAGATAGCCGCTACACGCCCTAAATGCTGGCGTAARCTGAAACGTTTTCAAAATATACATCATGAAAGATTAACAAAACAAGAGACGCACAAAATAACAGGTTATTTATGATAAGGCTAAAGTATTATCTTGCTCATGTATCACTTAATCCATATTGACTCGGATAAGTAATGTCAAGAAGGTTATCGCGATGTAAGTGCTGTTTGGATTGAACCACAGGACTCGACTGCGCCATGCAGAAACTGTATTTCTTCCTCATGTTGTATAGTATTTCTATTTTTGAACAACGTCAACCATTTCTACATGTGCTTACTGCATCTTGGACCTCCTCTCAAAGTTTGCGCAAATCATAAGCAATAGATATTCATTTATATTTTATGTCTTTTGTGATAAGATTGGTACTCCAGAATTTTTTCTTTGATCTCGATTGATGCTCTCAAAGTTGCGCAAATCAGAAGTATCGTTTTCCTTGCGCTGCTTCAAAATTGCTCGGTTGAATTGGTTTCTGAACAAACTTTTCGGCTATTTGTAAKCAAGAGTAGCGTTGAATAGATATGCATTTTTATACTGTTTTTATCTCGTGCTTCGAGGGATTTTCTCCGGATTCTTTCTATTTCTTCCTTTCACGTTCACGACTTTTCTATTCAAACCTTCAATTTTGCAGTCCAAGTCTATACCTCTCATTACTTCTTGATATCTTGATATTGCTAAAAGCGCAATCATTACTCATTTAAGTGTTTTAACTTCTTTAAGAGTCATAAGATGATGGTGTTATAGAATGAAGGGTAGCGTAACGGTAGTATACTCACCTCTCACCTCTAGGRTCTCGTGTTGGATCCCTGGACTCGCCACCACATGTGAGTAGACTTCGTTAGGTCTCTCTCCCTTGATTCGAGGGTCTCCCACCGCAAAATCTAATTCTAATTCGATTTGTGAATTAGCCRCGCTCGACGTTGATCAGCCCATCGGTTGTTTCAAGGTTCCAACGGTTAAGTTACCCTTGCCTGACTTAGATCAGCTCAGAGGTTGTTTCAGGGTTTGATCTGTGAGTTAGCCGTGCCCTGA